CTTGAGACACCATATCCTGTTGAAACGACGGCACGGCGCCTTGAAGCCATCCAGGAACTTTAAGACCTCCTCGCGGGCGAGGTCAAAGCCCTGGGGCAGCGCGCCAGAAACGTGGGGGGGGGGGAGGGGCATCGCCTCCTCCTCCTCCTCCTCCTCCTCCTCCTCCTCCTCTTCCTCCTCCTCCTCCTCCTCCTCCTCCTCCACCTCCTCTTCCTCGAGGGTCAATGAGGATCGAGGATCGGCGTAGATCGAGGCGTTTGAACGCGTCGGGCTCTGCTGGGCCTCTGGAGGCCTCCACGGCACGCGGTGACGTCTGGGGACGCCCCAGACCTCCGAGGGCATGACAAGCAGGCAGCCAGACAGACAGACAGACAGTCCCGCAGAAAGTACCTACGCGGGTGCAACGGGTGGGCGCCAGGGCGCCGATGTTGGCCGAACAGAATCTGGAGTCGGGACTTTTGGGCAGCCAGGGTCAGAAGGACGAGATCGAGCGTCGGAGCCGGAGTCGGAGAGAACGCAGGAGTTGGGGCCGGAGTCGGAAGGACAACACTTGAAGCTTGAAGATTCGGGGATGGACAGAACCCCCTTTAGTAAAACGTGGCTTAGTGAAAACGACCTCGGGCCCAGACCTGGCGGGCGCAAGCCTGGAAAATGACGGCCGCGGCCCCCTGTGGAGAACCGAAAACGGACGATTCACTAATCGACGTGTCAGGGTGGGGTTCTGTCCACCCCCGAATGACGAGCAGGTAGAGGGATCAAAAAGTGTGAAGATCAGAGAAGAAGCTCCTCGGACCAGACAGCAGCGCGAGCCAACGGAAGCCGAGAACCAAGCCGAGATCGGAGTAGAAGCCAGACGTTTTGCAACACGATGCCTGCTCGCAGACCAGATGGCCCGTGGCGTTTCGGGATCTCGTGTTCGGTTTGCTCGTTTGGCACCCCCGACCCCACACTGAAGCGCGGGTGATAAGCGACAGCGCAGCACGCGCGAGGGCACCCCCGTAGGACCCCAGAAACAGAAAGCGGTCAGAGGATCCGGGAAGCACGCGAAGACAGACAGCCGGGAGGCGGTCGGTGAAAAGACGATTCGAAAGCGCAAGATGGAGTCCTAGCCATTATCACGTCGAAGAGAAATTCCGGCTAGGACCTCCATACCAAGGCCAGAGACCACCCCCAGGAAGAATCCAGACAGTCATCCGTGATGGATTTCCGCCTGACGAGAGCGAGTGCCAGCGGCGACCTCCATGGTCGCGGCTCCAGCCACCGCCAGCGGCCAATAATCTCGCAATGCCGACGTCAGACACCGTCGAATCCTCTTGCGGTAAAGGGTTTCAGCGGCGAACTTCCCCTCCAGGAACTCGAACATGCCTCAAGGTGGCGCCGAACTGGCCCGAAAAGATCCGCCACAGCGCTCATGACCGCACACGTGATCCAAGCCCGTCCCAGCAATTCGTTATTATCATTACTCCTCCTCCTCCCCTCCCCCTCCTTTCCTGCCCCTTCTCCTCCCCCCTCCTCGCGATGACTAGCCAGGCCCCCCGCGAAGGGAAGACCAACACACACTCATTGTCGGCACCACTTCTCGGCGTCCTTTCCTCAGGATCAGCTCGTTCATGGGAAACCAATGGCCTCTCACACACACACACACACACACATACAAACACACACACACACACAAAACACAAACACAACACCCACACACACACACACACACAACACACACACACAACACACACACACACAACACACACACACAATTTTGGGCGTCGCGGTCACGCGAGCGACGTCGCGGCGGAGGGGAGATCAAGCGAGAAAGCACGGACCGGGCCAGCACACACGTCTTTTGGACGTCGCGGCCCTGCGCGCAACGACACGGCGGAGAAAGTCGCAGAACAGCAACCGCGCGCGCGCGTCTAAATGCACCCGAGCCTTCAGAGGCCACTTGGGGTCCCGTCGCGGCCGCCCGCCATAGGCCATCCAGGCGTGGATGACGGGGGGGGGGCGGTGGAAGGACGAGGCTACGGTGCAGTGAGGGTGCCAGAAGCCATCCGGGCATGGATGGCGGGGACACCGAGTAGGCAGCGTGGAGCGGCACGGACACCAAGACTGACCTGCAGCCCACATTGGCAAGGGGGTCACGGGCCTCCGGGGAGGCAACACGCACGCACGCTTTGGAGCGTCGCAGGCGGGGCAACGAAACCGCGCGGCCGTCCCGAGTCTCGCCGGCCCCTCACGGGGCAGCGGCGGGGCAAGGCAGAGGCGCGGCAGGGACACGCACACATGGACACACACACACACACACATTTCTAAGTCGGCGGGACTGGTGGCGATGACAAGAAGAGGCACTGCAAAGCCAAAGGGCAACGGCCAAGCATCCCGCAGAGCATGCTCGACGCCAGGAGTTCAAGCGAGACAGAACACTGGTGCTAATTAGCCAGTAGAGTACAGCAGCCAAGCATCCCGCGGAGCGAAGCTCGACGCCAGGAGTTGAAGCGCGGCAGCAGTCAGGTGCTAGTAGCCATTGAAAAGCATTGCAGGGCTGCCAGACCGGCCGGAAGCGGCGGCGCGCAACGGGCACGAGCGAGACAGGCGCCGCCGCCAAGCAAGCAACAAACGCGGCCGAACGCCGTGCAGGTGAACACACACACACGTGAGGAGGAGGAGGAGGAGGAGGAGGAGGAGGAGGAGGAGGGAGGAGGAGGAGGAGGAGGAGGGAGGAGGAGGAGGGGAGGAGGAGGAGGAGGAGGAGGAGGAGGAGGAGGAGGAGGAGGAGGAGGAGGAGGAGGAGGAGGAGGAGGAGGGAGGAGGAGAAGGAGGAGGAGGAGGAGGACTCGCGCGCAGCGTCGAGGCGAAGAAAGTGAAGTGAGGCGGCCAGGGTCCCGCGTGCGCCGGGCTCGGAGGGAAGCAGCGCCATGTGCCATCTGGGCGTGGCTGGCGGGGAGGCACACGCACAGACACACACACACACACTTTTGATCGGCGGCCCCGCGCACGGCGGCGCGGTGGTCAAGTCGGTCAGGCAAGCGGTCAAGACTAACGACGAGGGAGAAACGACGGCACCCCAGCTCAGTGCAGGGCAGAACGGGCCGGCAACACAGCAGGGGCAGGGAGGGCCAAGGAAAGCGCGGAGCCGGATCGACCGCAAAAGCGAGGGGAGAAGAAGGAGAAAGGAGGGGCAGACGAGGGCAGACGAGGGCCGACCAACGGACCAGGCGGAGAAAGAGCGAGAGGCAGAGAAGGACCACGGGGGCCACACATAGGGGTCGGAGGCCCGCAGTGTGTAGAACATGTTGTCACACTCAGGCTGAAACGCATCAGGAGCAAACGAATCATATGAAAACACACGGCCAAGTGGCGGTCTGTGTTGGTGCACTTTCCTTGCGTGTCCTGCTGTCCTGATTTGTTCCCCACATCCTGAGTGGGGTTACTGTATTCCAATAACACCCTCTCCTTCTCCCTCCCTCCTCCCTCCTCCTCCCGTGCTGCTGCTGTACTACCACTACCACTACCACTACCACTTACTATCATACCATACTTACCATGTCATACTTACCCTGCCATACCTACCATTCCATACCATACCTGAAATACCATACCATACGTACCATACCCTACTACCATGCCATACCTACCATACCATACCATTCCATACTATACCAAACCATGCCTATCATACTATACCATACCAGACCTATCAGGTTTCGTGCCCCTCCCACTCCTCCAGGGAGGCCCCGCCAGAGCGAGGAGGGTAACGGCATACCATATTAGTTATCAGGCTTCGTGCCCCTCCCACCCCTCCGGGGAGGCAGGTTTCGTGCCCCTCCCACTGCTCCAGGGAGGCCCCGCCAGAGCGAGGAGGGCATCGGCGCACCAAATTATTTACCAGGTTTCGTGCCCCTCCCACTGCTCCTGGGAGGCCCCGCCAGAGCGAGGAGGGTATCGGCACACCATATTATTTATCAGGTTTTGTGCCCCTTCCCACCACTCCAGGGAGGCCCCGCCAGAGCGAGGAGGGAATCGGCACACCATATAATCTATAGGTTTCGGGTCCCTCCCACTGCTCCAGGGAGGCCCCGCCAGAGCGAGGAGGGTATCGGCGCACCATATTATTCATCAGGTTTCGTGCCCCTCCCACCCCTCCAGGGAGGCCCCGCCAGAGCGAGGAGGGTACCAGCGCACCATATTATGTATCAGGTTTCGTGACCTTCCCACTGCTCCTGGGAGGCCCCGCCAGAGAAGGAGGGCATCGCCACACCATATTATTTATCAGACTTCGGGTCCCTCCCACTGCTCCAGGAAGGCCCCGCCAGAGCGAGGAGGCTGTAGGCACACCACATGATTTATCATGTTTCGTGCCCCTCCCACCCCTCCAGGGAGGCCCCGCCAGAGCGAGGAGGTTATCGGCACACCAGATGATCTATCAGGTTTCGTGCCTCTCCCACTCCTCCAGGAAGGGGCCCCACCAGAGCGAGGAGGGCATCGGCGCACCAAATTATTTACCAGGTTTCGTGCCCCTCCCACTGCTCCAGGGAGGCCCGCCAGAGCGAGGAGGGTATCGGCACACCATATTGTTTATCAGGTTTCGTGCCCCTCCCACCCCTCCAGGGAGGCCCCGCCAGAGCGAGGAGGGTATCGGCACACCATATTATTTATCAGGTGGCGGGGGGGGCCCTTCCAACCCTCCAGGGAGGCCCCTGTGCTTCCTTCATCGGGGAGTCTTCCATGCGATGCGGCAAGGCTTCTCCGTGGAGGGCTCCCCCATGCAGGAGCCGACAGATTCGATCCAGGGGAGGTGGCGGGGGGGCCCTTCCAACCCTCCAGGGAGGCCCCTGTGCTGCCTTCATCGGGAAGTCTTCCATGCGATGCGGCAAGGCTGCTCTGTGGAGGGCTCCCCGCTGCAGGAGCCACCAGATTCGATCCAGGGGAGACGGCGGGGGTTCCCTCCGACCCTCCAAGGAGGCCCGTGTGCTGCCTTCATCGGGGAGTCTTCCATGCGATGCGCCAAGGCTGCTCCGTGGAGGGCTCCCCGATGCAGAAGCCAACAAATTCGATCCAGGGGAGGTGGCGGGGGACCCTCCCGACCCTCCAGGGAGGCCCGCGTGCTTCCTTCATCGGGGAGTCTTCCATGCGATGCTGCAAGGCTGCCCGTCATTCGCCCGCGCTGTCTCGCCCCATCCTCCCCCTCCCCCTCCTGCTTTTCCTCGCCCACCTCCTTCATGTCCTCCTCCTCCTCCTCCTCCTCCTCCTCCTCCTCCTCCTCCTCCTCCTCCTCCTCCGCAGGCCCCGCCCGGAGCGCCTGGGCACGACGGCCGCAAGGTCAGCGGACAGACCGCGACGCGTCACCATTGTTGACCCCTTTACTCCCCCCAACCAGCCCATCCAGAAACGATGCTCTTGGGAGCTAGTGAGGAAAGGAGGGCGACAGTCTAGGTGACAATGTGAGCGAGAGGAGTGCGCTGGGAGATCTCCGGGTGCGTGACAGACTCTTCGAATGCCTCGCGAGGCAATCCTTGACACCTCGCGCGGAGCACGCAGGGAAAGAGGGCGATACCCAAAACGCCGACGAGGAGGAAAAGAGGAGAGGAACAGGAGGAGGAGGAGGGGGAGGAAAACAAAAAGGACAAAGAGAAGGAAACGGAGGAAAACGAGGAAGACGAGGAGATGGCGGAGGACGAGGAAGAGAACGAGGAAGAGGATGAGGAGGAGAAGGAGGAGGAGGGCGAGGAGGAGGAGGAAGAGGAGGAGGAGGAGGAGGAGAGTGAGGAGGATAGGGGAGAAGCACGAGGACGAAGAAGAGACAGAGGAGAAGGAGGAGGGTGCCAGAAAAGGATGGAAAGGGGTGAGGGCAGGTCGGCCATTTCATGACAAATTGCCCCTTGATCCCGAGAGCCCCGTAACATCCTTATGTGGGGGAACTCCGTTAGCATAATTCTTGGAGAGAAAAGAGCTAAACAAAAATCAACAAAGAACGAGCAAGCGAGAAGCAATTGAAAAGCAGTTCGAGTCAGAGGCCACTACAGAGGGGCAGAAAGGAACAGAGAAAGGGAGGACGACGACGAGAAGAAGAACATGTGCGCTCCTCCCACCCACAAACAACATAACTGGAAACAAAATTATCCTGGCGAAAGACCCAACCATATGCAATCGTGAATATTGCAATTGTGAATATCTTCTCGGTGGAGCCCCCTACGGACCCACGAAACGTACGAGGGGTGTGCCGAAATGGGTGTGCGGGACGCATGCGGGCACACCCACTGGGACCTTCGGCGGAGCTCCCTATGGGGCCACGGAACGCGTGAGGGGCGTGCCGAAATTGGTGTGGCTGACGCATGCGGACGCGGGCACTGGGGCCTTCGGCGGAGCTCCCTATGGGGCCACGAAACGTGCGAGGGGTGCGCCGAAATGGGTGTGGCTGACGCATGCGGGCGCGGGCACTGGGGCCTTCGGTGGAGCTCCCTATGGAGCCACGAAACGTGTGAGGGGTGTGCCGAAATGGGTGTGGGTGACGCATGCGGGCGCGGGCACTGGGGCCTTCGGTGGAGGGGGGCCTTCGAGCACTAGAGCCACGAAACGTGTGAGGGGTGTGCCGAAATGGGTGTGGGTGACGCATGCGGGCGCGGGCACTGGGGCCTTCGGTGGAGCTCCCTATGGAGCCACGAAACGTGTGAGGGGTGTGCCGAAATGGGTGTGGGTGACGCATGCGGGCGCGGGCACTGGGGCCTTCGGTGGAGCTCCCTATGGAGCCACGAAACGTGTGAGGGGTGTGCCGAAATTGGTGTGGGTGACGCATGCGGGCGCGGGCACTGGGGCCTTCGGCGGAGCTCCCTATGGGGCCACGAAACGTGTGAGGGGTGTGCCGAAATGGGTGTGGTTGACGCATGCGGGCGCGGGCACTGGGGCCTTCGGTGGAGCTCCCTATGGAGCCACGAAACGTGTTAGGTTTTTCTCCTGCCCCACTCTCTCCGACCGCGCCGCTGACAGAATGCAAACATCTAGCTGTTCATACCCGACAGCTCCGCTGATGCGGAAAAAAAACACCGAGCTGCTTGTACCCGACAACTCCGACGACGGGAAAAAAAAACACCTAGCTGTTTATACCCGACAGCTCCGCTGACGGAAAGCAAGCATCTAGCTGTTTATACCCGACAACTCCGATGACAGGAGGAGGAGGAGGAAGGAGGAGGAGGCAAGGGGAACGGCGGAGGGGTAGCTACATGAGATATCTAGCTCCGTGCCCAGTAACGTCACTGGGGGAGGGCCCAAAACGCGTCAAGCGCGAACATGAAACGGAAAGTTGAAGCCCGAATCGACCGAAAAGGAAGTCGAACGGGAACATACAGGAGCGCACAAGGGGGGAGGTGAGGCCACTAAAATGCACAGGGGCGCGGAACTAGTGCTTTTCGGCATGCAGCGAAAGTGCGCTAAACCCTCACCTGGTCCAGAGCCCGCTGACAATCGCAAACAACTTGGCGTGGCGGGCAAGCGCGTCACACCGCGCCTGCTCCCAGGCGTCCGCAGCATTGGCGACTCAGCCATGTCGCGCTGCGTTGGTCGCCATGAAGACTGCGTAGAGGTGGAGGGCTCTGATCGCAAGCTGCTCCAGGATCCCTTGGTCGTCCAACAGCAAGAACGTTTGCAGTCTCCGCTCGGGCGGGGCTGGCAGGATGCGCAGCCGCGAGCGGGCAAGGCGGCAGGCAGTCGGGCAGGTGGCATAGTGTGGGAGGCCATCTTTGCCGGAGGAACACCCGAAGAGGCACCCACCACCCTTTCCACTGGCCTCCGCTGTGGTCCACCCTCCCATCAGGGCCTTCAGCGTGGCTGCCCATACACAAGGGGGGACCAGCTTAGCGATTCTAGCCAGTGCTGTATCCATTCGTCGTGCGCGATGGCCTGGGAGGATCGCGAGGGGCCAGCGCTCGAGCCTTCTGCGGACGTGGCGGTGCAAGAAGTCGATGTCCTGAGGCCGCAGCACCTCTGTGCAGCGGCGCTGCCAGAGCATCTTCGTGATGGGGGCCTCGGATGTGCCCTGCAGGAGGCGGGGAATATTCGTGTGCTCCGCGGAGGCCGCGCTCTGCAGCAGCTGCTGAGCCTGCATCACGTTGAAGATGAAGTTGTGTACCAGTCGCGCCAGGTTCCCACCCGATCCCTGAAGTCAGAGTCCATCCGGGCCTGGATGAGACGCTGCAGACCACCTTGTGCCGCAGTTTCCCACCGGTAAACTCGACACTTTGCTCCCTGAGCGGTGGCCCGCAGGTTCGGCACCTCGGCCGGGAACCCCAAGTTCTTCAAGCGCTGCAGCAAGCATGGGCAAGCCCACCCCCTGGTCCCGGGCAAAAGCGTTTCCAAAAGTTTCCGCTCAGTTTGCGCCCAATGCTCGGGGAGGCCGTCCAACTGCAAGGGGAAACCCGCCAACGGCAAGATGTAGATGCGGAGGGCTGCCATGGAGACCAGCATGCCTGCCCCGATGCCCTTCCACGTGACAGCACGCTTCCGCATCTTGGCGAAGACACTGTCCCAGATCGTGGTCCCCCGCGTGGGGCCCAAATAAAAACCCAGATACTTTGCATGGCCTGCAAACGTAAATTCTGCCCAAAGCTTAGCCTGACGAGCGACGTCAGCACGTACGTCGGCGTAGGGGCGAAGAGAGAGCGGAATTATGATGGACTTGCCGCGGTGGCTGCTGCAGAAAAGGCTCGTGCCCTCGACTCTGGGTCCCGCGGCCGCCGCCTCCCGATACCCGGCGAGGACTTTGGGGCAGAGGCAACGTCCTCATTCTTTGCGTTGAGCGCGCTCCAAGCTCTAATAGGAAGGCACCAACTATACACCAACACCGATCCTGGCCAGGATCACCCTGGGCCCAGGATCGGTGTATACGCCCTCCTGCCTTGCGCAAGAAGGCATATACACCGATCCTGGGCCCAGGGTGATGCTGGGCCAGGATCGGTGTTGGTGTATAGTTGGTGCCCTCCGATCTAAGCTCGCAGCGCTCATGTGAAAACGCGTGCTTCAACCATGCACCGACTTAGGCGTAATGGCCCCAACTTAAGCCGCTGACAGGTGCGGGCGACAGAGACGCGAAGACGCAACGTCCTCCTCCTCCCACTGCTGCTCCTGCTGCTCCACTCCTCCTGCTCCAACCGCCTCCTCCTCCTCCTCCTGCTCCTCCTCCTCCAACCTCCTCCAGCCTCCTCCCCCCATGAATGGGAACGATCGGGGGGGATCCGCGTAAGGGGTGAAAACACCGACCTCGAATCGGCAACACATCGCCGATAGATCGGCGACAAACCGCACGTTCCTGGGCGGGGTGGGCTATCAGACCCCAATCGGCGATGAAGGGGAGATGGGGGGTCGATGCTCTCCTCCTGACCGATGTCCGACAAGTGATCTCGGCGGTGGACAAACCTCCCTTTAGTAAACCTCCCTTAGTGAAAGCGGCCTGGGACCGAAACCGACGGACCTGGACCCGCAAAAATAACGGCCGCGACGCCCTCTCGCGAACCGAAAACGGCAAATTCCTGAATCGACGTGTCAGGGTGGGAGGTCTATCCCCCCCCCGATCCTCCTGACCTGCGTCCGACAGGTGGTCCTCGTCGCCTGGGCTTCGGGTCACGACTCGGGTCACGTCACGGCGACCGCTCGGGACGAGCCGGGCAGCCCCCAGGACGCCCCGCAGCAGGGCGCAGCCGCTGGAGAGCACGCCGAGGCTGGGAAGCCGCCGAGAAGCGACGAAGAAACGTCCGAAAACCTCGGGCTTCGGACAACGCCTCGAAAAACCTCGAACTTCGACGGACCTCGAAAAACAAGAACCTCGAAGACCTCGAGAACGAAAACCTCAAACCTCGAGAACCTCGAACCGAGAATCGACGAAAACTTCGAACTTCGAGAACCTCGAGCCACGAAAACCCCTAACGTTGCCCATCCACCCCGCCCTCACCTGGGGCGGAGGTGGCGGCGGCGAGGCCTCCGCGATCAGGCGCGGGTGAAGGCCCTCGGCGAGGGAGGCCTTCGGGCTGCCCGGAGGAGGGGGGGAGGGGAAGGGGGAGGGGGGGGTAAGCGGGAAGGGGAGGGAGAAGGGGAGGGAGAGAGGGGGAGGGGGAGGGGGAGGGGGAGGGGAGGAGGGAGGAAAAGGGGAGGAGAGGGGAGGGGCGGGGAGGGGGAGGGGAGGGTGGAGGAAGAGAGGAGGGGGGAGGGAAGAGGGGGGGGGAGCAAGCTGGGAGCGCTCCCGGAATACACATATGACAGTCTACCCCTTCAACCCATGCCTTCACATTGCGCTGATTGTTACACATCCGCGGACTCGGAAAAGGAAAGCTGCGTACAGAGGAGGACGAGCGGGCGGATGAGCAGGAGGACGAGCAGGAGGAAAAGGAGAACCAGTGTAAATCCATGACCGATCAATAATACTGCAATAATTCCTCCCTCCAAGCTCCTTCTGCATAGGCTCCTCCACGGATTCATTTTCAAAGAAAAAACCGTTGGAAGACAACCGGTTCAAAATCGGGAATTTTACCAGCACACCATCGCCGGGACTTCAACGCCGCGAATCACCGCTACTCTTGCACCTTGACGATCCTGAAACGTGCCAGACCACCGATCCTGGGACTTCAACACCGCGAATCAACGTGACTGTTGCGCCATGACATTCCGACATCGTACCAAAACACCATCTCTGGGACGTTATCCATGAGAACCCTTGAAACTGTAGCAAAAATTCTCAAAACGATTGAAAAGAGACCGCCGTCAACCCGTGAAACTCATGCAAACTTTAGAAACGAATGTGCGCGGCGCTCAAGCGAGAAATTTGAAAACGAACCACCCTCCATCCGTGACACGAGTGCAAAATCTACAAACGAATGCGCACGGCGATAAGGCGAGAGCCAAGTTTTGAAAACGGACCGCCCTCCACCCACGGAACCCTTGCAAATTTTTAAGACGAATGTGCGCGGTGCTAAAGCGAGAGCTACATTTTGAAAACGGACCGCCCTCCATCCGTGAAACTCTTCAATTGTCCAAGCTTCAGCGACATAATACGTGAGGAAATCTCAGGCGAAACGCCCGGGCCGCCCTTTCGACCGGCCTCGGGGTGCGAGGAATTGAGGAACGAGGAGGACGAGGACAAAGAGTAGCAGCAGGAAGTGGATTGGAAGGAGCGGAAGGAACAGGAGGAACAAGGGAAGGCGGAGTAGGGAAAGCGAGGGGGACGACAACGATGAGGAAAGACTCGGATCCAGAAGTGGCCCGCGACGGAGCGAGAGTGCCATTCTGAACGACGGGAGCAAAGCCCCGATCCTAAAATAAGGCCCACGCTGCGGCGGGAGCACCGTGTTGAAAGGACCGAGAACGTTCGGACCGGAAAAGCACACAAAAGAAAGATCAGCTCGGCACCCTCCTGCCTAAATAACGGTGCGCGGAGGGGGTCGCGCCACTCCCAGGCCATCTTCGGGAGAGAAAGGAGAATACTATTCAGATTGAGCAATTCTGGGGAGGTGAGGGGGAATGGAGGGGGTGTGAAGAGGGCGCACCACGTCGGTCCCTGGCGAGAGTTCGGCGACGAGCCCCCGCGCCCAGGAAGCGTGCTGGGAGGAGCCTGGCCCGCGGGGCATCCCCGCGGAAACCACGGGTGTGTCTCGCCGAGCGGGGCCGAGCTGGCCTGCCCAGCCTCGGCGCTGCGCAAGGTACGGTCCTCCTGCTCCTCCTCATCCTCCTCCTCCTCCTCCTCCTCCTCCTCCTCCTCCTCCTCCTCCTCATCCTCCTCCTCGTCCTCCTCCTCCTCTTCTTTTTCATAGTATTATTCGTATTCGTATTGTTCTTATGATGCTTTATATTATTATTAGTATTACGATTCGTAGTATGAGTAGTCTGCTTATTACTATTAGCCATATCCGTAGTCCTGTTGTTCTTATGTGTAGTATGATTGTCATGCTTCTCCCTGTTATCAATAACATCCGTAGTAGTAGTAGTAATAACAGTAGTAGTTGTGTAATGTATGTGTTTATTACTATGTCATGACGCGCCATAGTAGTACCATTCGTAGTATTACTCTTAGTGTTATTGCTTTTCTTCTGAATCATCAGTATTGTTCGTATCGTTCATGTTCGATGTATTAATGTTGGCCTATGTAATATTCGTTATCGCCTATTCGTCTTATTGTATTATCATGGTTCGTGTTACTCCTATTGATTAGTATTGGTAAGACTTGGTAGTACTATTATGCGTAATAGTATTAGTATTCGTCGCGATCGCACGCGTAGCCTTAGTATTGTTAATAGTGTTATTCGTCTGCTTCACATTCTGAGTGAACTAGCATTAGTATTCGTAGTCGTGTTCCTCTTCTGATTCGTATTCGTATGATGCGTATTATTCATAGCATTGATACAATTCATGTTCCTAGTCATATTAATACTCGCAATATTGTAAGTATGTTTCCTCTGATTCATCCTCCTCCTCCTAGTCCTCCTCCTAGTCCTCCTACTCCTCCTCCTCCTCCTCCTCCTCCTCCTCCTCCTCCTCCTGCTCCTCCTCCTCAGCCTCCTCCGCCTCCGCCGCCTCCGCCGCCTCCGCCTCCGCCTCCGCCTCCGATTCCCCCCCCCTCCTCCTCCTTCTCCTCCTCCTCCTCCGCCCCCTCCTCCGCCTCCGCCTCCGCCTCCGCCTCCTCATCCGCCTCTTCCTCCTCATCGTAGTATTATTCTTCATGAAGGACTCGTATAAATTCAATTGTTATTCCTAAGATTACTATTACTATTATTATTAGTATTATTATTAGTAATGTTGTTCGCATGGTTCATCCGAACACCATTATTAATCATATCAGTATGGTCATTAATCTGCATCGTGTTAGCATTAGTCTTCTTGTTACCCGTACTTCTTACTAATCCTCTTCCTCCTCCTCCTCCTCCTCCTCCTCCCCCTCCTCCCCCCTCCTCCTCCCTCCACCCTCATCCTCCTCATCCTCCTCCCCCCCACCCCTCCACCTCCTCCTCCTGGCGCGTCGCCGAGGCGCGCCAAGTCGATTACTCCGAGCCCGCGCCCGCGCCCGCGACGCGGAGCCTCGCTAGTGCGGATCGCACTGCAAGCTGAAGTTCAAAGATTTGACAGCCAGCGAGGAGCAATGAAGCATCGGAATGAGAGACACGAGAGGCAGTGGCGGCGTTGAAGATGAGAAGACCAGCAGCGGCAGGCTCGAAGTCAGCGCGACAGGGAGAGCAGAGACCAAGACGAGCAATGGGAGACTCGAGGAACGGGAGCGGCTAAATGATGAGGGCTAGCAGATATTGGAAAACAGGGCAGTGCGCCCAATAATGCAGAAAAGTGTCTGGGCCTCCACATCCCATCATGCATCCACGTTGGGAGTCATCGCGCATTCTAGCTGAGGTCACCCATGCACCAGCTATCGTTTTGAGTACTGCTGAGCTGACTCCTATTGGGAGGGCCGAAAGACACGCCTTCACCTCAGTCCAGCTGATGCTTTGAATTTCACCCCGACGTTCGGGGAACCAGCCCAGGAGGCGAGAGGAGAACATCGAAGGGGGGGGGTCAGGGAACAGAGACCACTGGAGCGAGGCGGAAATCACACGCTGGACCTTCGGTTTCGGCGGCATAGGTTCTGAATTGCCGGGGCACGGAGGGTCGAGACACGCGCGGGCAGCCTGCAGTGCAAGGGAGCCAGCCTGTGCCCACTGGGCGTGGCCAGAGAAGCCCGCAGCGGCCTGGGAGAGATGATGCACCAGAGGTGGGGATGTCCACCAGGACGGGCTGAGTTTTCCTTCTCCGATCTCCTGCAGGGTCAGGTGATCGAGAGCCGCCCCTCGGAGAAACTCGAAAAAACGGTTCCCATCCAGGGGGCGCCACCAGAGCAGTCCGCATCAGAGAGGCAAGAGAAAGAACAACTATACTGTTCCCAGCGGGTCCGCCCCAGGAGAGGGCGAACCAGCCAGCGCGGGAAAAGGAGCAGTGGGGAACACGAAAGAGAGAGGCGAAGAGGGCATGCTCCGAGCGAGCCAAGCGAACGAGGTCCGAGGAGGGGAGGGGAATGAACTGAGCCACATATCCAATCGTGGGAACAGCTCTCTTGTTATAAAGATATTGCGTGACAGCTGCGGGAAGTCCGGCCCGCGCTATAGCGCAGCCTCGGGCAAACCATTTCCGAGTGGGTCCAGTCCAGCTATCTTTTTCGGTCCCAGGACCGAGCACCAAACCGAGGTAAGTCAGAAACGGAACAACCTGGAACGCGGCCCACTCTGGAAGCTGCACACGCAGCCAATTCGCGATGGATTCGCTGACCTCTTGTGAGAACTCGCTTCCAAGAGGGGTAATGAAACACTTGGTCGGCTTCAAGGTGAGACCCGCGAGACGGAGGCCCAAGTCAAAGGGCCTCTTCAGAACACGGAGGTCGGCTAGTTGTCGAAGCGCAGCACCCACGTCATCAGCGCACGCCCGAGCAATGCCTTTCTCGCGAGGAGCCTGCCGATTGCCCCCACGGGGTCGAGGACGTGCACGAAGAGAGGCGTCGATGTCGGACAGGAAGGGATTCGACGCAATGGCGTAGATCATGCCCGAGGCGGGGCAGCCCTGGATGATGCCACTCTCTATCTTGAAGGCGAAGCGGAGCGCGTTGTTGGTGCGCACGAAGCACCGGACAGCACTGTAGAGGATCTCGAGAAAGAAGAGGAGCGGGGAGGGGATGCGAAGCCGTCGAAGGCACATCAGCAACCATTCATGCGCACTGGACGGGAAGGCCTGGCCGTAATCGAAACTGGCAAAAACTGGCTTGTGCGAGATGGCTACATTTGGGTCCATGATACGCATGCCGCACACCCTGGAGCATGTATCTAGCTCGAGCATGTTGGCCCCGAAGTTCCGACCGCCCACAAAGCCACGCTGTATCGGGGCAATGAAGGTATCCAGGGTTTTGCTGAGTTCTCGGCAAACGATTCCTGCGATGATCTTGTTCGAGGCATTTTTGAGACCAAGGGGGCGAGTCTGGCTGGGGCCCCGATGAATGGC